CTGACCAAACAAAAATGTTTTTGAAATGTTTTTCCTTATGAGGTCCCCATATCACACGCTTAAAAGCAAAATCTGATATAAAATTGAGAACTTCATCCATCAAATTCAGTAATCGAAACCAACATCCATCTCTGTTGAATTGATTACCAATTCCACTCTAATGCCAATGAAGATGAGATTCAGTAATCGATATTTTCATTTTCTTTTTGGATCTCTCTCCACTGGGAAGAAGAGATGTTCGATTAATGTTTAGACTGGGACGTTGCTTTGGTAAGTTTGAGATGAGAGTAATCGGAAGTATTTATAATGATATTTAGAAACGGATGATTAGGTAATCGAATCTTCGGTGAGCAAACAGAATTTATTCTGAAAAATTAAAATTATAGAAATTATTAAATAATTGAAAGCTATAAGTGAAAAATATGCTTTTCAATGTTAGTCTAAACTCTAAAGTAAAGGAAATTTTGTTATTTGTTCCAATTATGCCGCTAATCACATACTAACACAATTAAATGAGACGATTATATATTAAAACAATATAAACAAACTGAAAGATTTTGGAAATAAGTTTTTAAGAATGTGCTTGAATAAAGCAGCTAAATAAGCGTAACAACTAACAACTATGATCAAATATATAACTTTCGATCAATTAATATTGTTTTAGAAAATTATAATTTCTGATCTTATAAGATTTTGTTTTTAAAGCAGTGGCAAAGCTTGTAAATAAGTTTAAACCCCATGATTTATTTCATAAGTTGCTGCAAAAATATTAATATAAATAGATATAATTTGTTTGATTTAATGCAATCTATTAGTTTCTATTGACGATTTTGTATTTAGAGAGAGATTTGGGGGAACCTTTCAAATAAAATAATATGTTCATTATAAATATGGTTTCCGTTTTTAGTGCAAAAATCATCATGAATATGGTTATTAATACCGCAAAATCATTTCGAAAATCTCAGAATATTCAGCTCGCAAATCAGCTAATTTTTAGGGATCCAATAAGTTAAATTTGTTGAATAATCGTGGAAACAAATTTTAGAAATATTAGAGAATAGTTATTTAAAGCCAATGGCAGGACCTTGTAAATAAGTGAGCTAAGTGAGGGTTTTTTCATAACTGTCTTTAAAAATGTTAATATAGATTGTATACCATCCATTGTGTTACGTACAACACATGAATCAAATAGTTAGAAACTAAGACAACTATATCTTCAACAATGATAAATACGCCACTCCAGAAGACTCACCTACAATGTGACACAATGATATTTCAAATACTTGTTTTCGCAAACAAGTCCAGATAAAATGGGAACAATGAACCAATCTCATATCCAACAACTTTATTCAATCTACAACTTTGACTTGGTTTTAAATCCTCTTAGTGTTTCATCATTTGTAGAGCTGCTTGAATCTTCTGCATGCCTCTAATATGTTGTCTCTATGCCCAAAGGCGCTAACACGAACAAACCCTTCACCTCCTGGTCCAAACCCACTCCCAGGCGTTGTAACCACATGTGTCTTCTCTAGAATCTCTGAGAACACATCCCACGAACTCTGTTTCGGGAACTCTACCCAAACATACGGAGCATTCCTCCCTCCATACACATTGTAGCCAAGCGAAGTGAATGTGTCGATGATTATGTTTGTGTTTTCTTTATAGAATCCAATCACTTTGCGCATTGCCTCAAGCCCTTCAGGGGACAGGCAAGCAAGTCCACCAGCTTGGGAGAGGTTAGAGGCACCATTGAAGCTAGTACAGACTATACGATTGAAGTCTTTAGCAACGGGGAATCCGTCAGAATACAGTAGTTGTTTCGGGATCACAGTCCAACCAAGTCTTACTCCAGTAAACCCTGCATATTTGCTGAAAGAAGATGTCTCAATCGCCACCTGCATTTCAATCAAGAGTCAGTTTAGTGACATAGCCATAACTAAACAAACATCAAAATCACAGCTTTACCTCCTCAGCTCCGGGGATTTCATAGATGGAGCGCGGGTTGTCATCCGACATATACATTGCATATGCAGAATCATACACGATAATTGATCCGTTCTTCTTTGCAAACTGAACTAAATGTGTTAGTTGCTCTCTTGTGGCAGCAGCACCAGTAGGATTGTTCGGGGAACAGAAAAATATTATATCCGTTCGACCAATAGTGGATAAGTCAGGAAAGAAGCCATTCTCAGGAGTGCATCTCATGTACTCAATGTTCCCATACTTCTGGACTTCGGTATTAAATTGTCCCGTCTGACCCATAATAACACTAGAATCGACATACGCCTGTGTATTAAATTGACAAGTGAAGCAACATTCAAAGATAGTATAAAGTTAACAGACTTAACAAGAGTTTAGTTTCATTTTTCATCAGATTACCGGGTATGAAGGATCTTGGACAGCAATTGTAACATTGGAACCAAACATAACCTGAAAGAAGTTGTATATCAAGATACAATCAGTCAGTTTCTAATATAAACATTAATCTCTTGAATTTTCATCAGATTATATAGGCAAAGCAATACTCAAAACAAACCTGGAGACGTGATATGTCACATTTAGCACCATCAGAGACAAAAATGTCATCATCCCCTATGCTAAGGCCACCGTAGAATGTTTTAGCAATCGCAGATCGCAGTGGCTGTTCAATCGAAAGTTTCAGTTAGTTACAAGATTCACCAACGATGCTTACATGATTCAAAAACAAGAAACAGGTTTATCATCTCCTCTTAACTAAAGAAACAGACGCACTACACAGCAGAAATGCAAAATCTCAACAATATGCATGGAACTTATCAAGACCCATATTATACAACAGCTTTTGTTTCAACTGTAGTTGATAAAGATCATAGCTTTTTGATGACAAAGATACAGTTAACTGTTATTTCAAAAGTGACAATGCTTATGAGCTTCAAGGTTCAATTCAACACATTTGTGACATATAAATCTTCCACTGACTAATAAGAATAGCTTAAAGTAGCAATGAAGACTTCACTAACCTTTGCACCTTGTTCAGCACCATAACCACTGTAACCTTCTATTGTAGACAACTCATGAGCTTTCTGCAGAGAAATACAAAAGACTTAAGAACCAAAAATGCAACATTTTGTGAACTATATACAAAATATTATTGAAAAGTAAGTACCTTTGCAATAGCAGAAGTAATGACTTCAGGGATAGGCTCAGTAGTGTCACCAATTCCAAGACTAATGATTTGTGCATCTGGGTATTTCACCAAATGTGCAGATCTTCTTCTTGCAATCTGGTTGCAACATTACAACAAAGTCAGTGAAACAATGTCACAAGACTCACAACATTGTCCTAAAACCAAATACAAGATTCTGATTACATACCTCTGGAAAAAGATACCCAGCTTGGAGTTTGGACATGTTTGAGTTCCTTGGAACACTTGTCTTGTACTCTGTAATCAAAACAGAGGTTACACTATTAACAAAGTTCAAAGCTTTATTTACTGAAAGTTATGATTTTGAACCTTACCTGATTGAGAAGTCTCACATTTGATTGAACTGACCCGTTTAGACATTGGAAGAGATGCATTTCGAGGTCTGAAACAGAACAGCGAAGTAAAGATTAAACAGAACAAACGAAGAAAACACAAATTTAATGGCGAGATTGAATTGAGAGAGTTACCTGGTATGTAGATTTGAAGGGGCTAAGAATGTTGAAGAAGAAGATGAAATCATTGAAGAAGAGAGCTGATTGGTCAACGACATTTTTGTTCTTCGCTTTAGGATTTTTCAAAATCTGAGGGTAACGATACAGTGAGTGTTCGCAGAGTCGTGTCTTAGGTTTTTTATGTGATTGAAAGACTGATAAAATTAGGGTTCGAGCTGGTTTGAGTGAAACAAACCAGTTTTTTTTGTGCAACCGGTTTAACAAAATGGACATTGCATTCTAATGGAGCCAGCCTACTGGGTGTTCCGTGTTCGGGTATTGGTTCCGTTGCGGATATATCTATTTGGTTCCGGCTATTTCCGATAGGAGAGTTTATTTTAGATTTTCGGTTTGGGTTCAGTTTAGTTTTGATTATATTAGATTAGTCATGGACAAAATAACCGAATCAAAAGTACTAAATCGAAACCGAACCGAAAAAAAGGAACCAAAACAAACCGAAATTGACATAGTAATCGAATGGATAGTAAACTTGAGAACCGAAAAAACTGGAACCAAACTTATACCGAACCAAGAACTGAATGTGTACCCGATATACACCTAGTTATGTTATATATGTATCTAAAATATTTATTATATTTAGACTTGATATAATCCAATAACCAAAATTTCAATTATAAATCCATAAATATCAAATATTTTTAAACTAAAACAGATTAAATATTTAAAATAACCAAAATATTTAAAAAATTAATTAGACATATTTTCTAAATTTATTCAAAAGTCACTATTTCGAATATCCGGAAAAGAACCTAAAATAACCCAAACCGAAAACCTAAAATAATCGATAGGATCCTAAATTCTCCTATCTAAAGTACCCTGATCCAAATCGAATACTTGACAGCCAGGACTACCCAAGACTATTGGAGACAATGGACTCCTAATAGATGGGAAACAGATTATGAGGTGATTGTGTGCAAGTATATAGAGAAAGGGTATGCACTAGTTGTTCCGAAGATAGTGTTTTGGAACCTGAGGGATTCGAGTTCAACGCATGTTCTTGGAAACAAGAAATGGGTAGCTTTGGTAAGTGGTTTTCCCAAGAATTTGTTAAAAATGTTCTTGGATCATGATGGAGAGATTGATCCCATAACGATCATGGAGGCTGCTATATGTAGAAGTGAGTATAGGTCACTGGTCTAAGTCGTTTGTTGTAGTTGATTGATTTAATATTTAGAGATTTTGTAATATTTGAATAAAAACTGCTACTATTTACACAAATTGGGTCATATTCTTACACAAGAATCGTTTCATTACATAAACTTTATATCAAAATAGAGGAAATTAAATGAAAAGTTTTGGAAATGTCAAGTAGTCGGAAGAAACCATCGAGCATCCTTGAGCTTCATCTTGGAGAGACAAGAAAAACGTTTGAGAATCTTGGTCTCGAGATCGAACACACAAATGTCCAGTTTTAAATCCTCCTTATGATAGATACGACCATGCCGGGTAAAATATATAGAGTTTGGTGTAATGCTAGGCACGGGAACACCCAAGTCAAGAAGCAAAGCCTCATCACCTAAAGAATCAACCTCTTCTTCAGAATTGTACTCTATATTCTTAAAGATCCGGAAGCTTTCAATGGTTGCGTTATCGATGATGCTCTCGACCAGCAAAACATCTCCTCTCGTTGTAACCGCAAAACTACAATCTTGAGTTGAATAAAACAATTGAAATGGTTCATACTTGTTAACATCCTCGAAACCTTGTTGTTTAGACAAATCTAGGATCCGAATGTAACTAAGTTGCGTGCGGATGTAAAGATTGTAACCAAAGAGTACCGCATCGGTTAAGCCTTGTAACCTCCATGGGACTCCGCAATGAAGTGGGATTTTAGTGTAGTGATCATCACCTTTCTTGCAAAATCCAACGTTTCCACTAGGGAAGTTGAAGAACAAGACTACTACATACTCTGTCGTCTTCTCGTCGAACCACAAGAGACCTTTTAAATCTTCGGAGTCGTCTTTATCTAGGAGAGACTCTTCTAGAGGCATAAGATCGATCCTAGTCTCGCTAAACACATCGATTATATAGAGATTGAATTGAGAGTCTATTACTAGGAACCATTGACCTGAGTTTGCAAGGAACCGAGTCCTTGAAAAGTCTCTTTTTGTTTTGTAAGTTCTTTCTTCTTCTTCTGGATTGAACAACAGGACAGAACTAGAACCAGAGCCATCTTCGTTGTCGTCGTTGTCTTCAGGAAACAGCATTAGCCATGGAGATGTGATTTTCTTGGGGAGTGTTAGCTTCGAAATCAAGTTCCAGTTCCAGCACACGAGCTTTGCGCGGTGGAAGTCAGTGAAGCTTAATCGATTGTAAATAGATTCCAGCAAATCAGGAGGGAGCTCCGACCAGGTCCGAGGATTTTGAGTTCCCATGGTCTTGATTGGTCAACAACGGTTTGGAGTTCGTACGTTTCTTCTTCGTATCTTTTTGTAGTTGTGCCTTTTTTTGTCGGCTTGCTGTCTCTCCTGTTTCTTTCTTGTTTGCGTGTTGTCTGTTTTTGACTTGTCTTGACCCCGCGTTGAATAATTAACATTTTTTAATTTGTTTTTTTCACATGTTGTAATTTTTATAATTAATAAATTTATTAGTATTAGGTTTATACACGTGCAATCCTTTTACTAATTATATAAAATGTAAAAATAATTATTCTAACATGTACTATGACCAGTAGCGGACCCAGAAATTTTTTAAACCAGTATTAAGTTATAATTTAAAAAGTTATAAATGAATATCTTAAAAATTTCTTATAAAAAATTCTTACAAAAATCGAAAACTTTTTACAAAATCACTCTACGGTCTTTCATATCTTGAAATCTTGACATTACCTTCTCATTTGTTATAGTTTCAAAAACATCTTTCTCAGCAAAATAAACTAAACAATTATTCAAAAACTGATCTCCAATTCGATTACATCGATCTACTTTTACGATCTTCATTGCTGAAAAACATCTCTCAACCGTGGCAAAGATGAAGTCTCCTAAAGTAATTATTTAGGTTAGTCAATTAGTTGGGCTTTAGGTTATTACATATGTTATTAGGCTTAGTTATTATTAATGGACTACTTTAATTAGATTATTTGTAGTGGATTTTTTAGTATTTCTTACAACTGAACAAAAATAATGGGCTATAATTAATAGGGTGTCAAAAACTAAAAATTATAATTAATTAATGGGGTGTCAAAAACGAACTATAGGAGTTTAATAATAACAAGTCCATAACCTCTTGAGAAAAAATATAAATTAATGGTGTGTCAATTGAACCACCTTTGTTCTATGTAGGTCCTCAAGTGACTGTGACTCTTTATTTTCTTGCATATTTTTTTGTATATTCATTTTTGAATAAAATACAGTTTAATGAAGAACAAAATTTATCCAATTAAAATTAATACCTAATAATACCTTATATATTTGGTCCCAAAAAATAATAATACCTTATATATATGTTTTATCCAAATTTGATTTTTTTTTCTTGTAATAATGTGAAATGAGACAAAGCCATTATTAATTTTTTAAGTCAAGAAAGTTTATTAACGAGATGAAGTATGATCATGAATTCACGATGTAAAGTATTAATCAATACACAATACACTATGAACATAATAAGAATGAAAATAAAAGATTGATCATATCTCCATTTTATCTATTTAAATTTTATATTTAATTATATACATGTAGTAACAAACTAACAATTGAGTATAATCTTAATTAATCAAAACAAAAACGAAATAAAAGAAAGGAATATCATATTTTTTCTTTCTTTCCTCTTAAGTATTGTCCCTTCTTTCCCCTCAAGAAGCAATTCAAGTTGTCGTCGTTTATTGGTCGGAGATTAACACTCGATGACTCCTATAGTATCAACACTAATCTTCCTTTCGTTTAACTACTTTTGTTGTGCTTCGTTTCTAGACTATGAATTTGTAACAAGTTTCTTCTTTGAAAATTCACTGGTGATTTTCTTGGCCGTTCATAATCGTTCTTGTGGTTGATGTTACGGTAAGAGAAAATTCTTGCAATCTTTCTCAACTCGAACCAACAGATAGATCTGGTTGAGATCTGATGTTTCTTGACTCCTTATACCAATCTAGTCGATTTTATATTGTCATTACCGGCAGACAACAACCTTTAGCGGTTTCAATTCCCTCTACTTAGGCCACTTCGTGCTATCTACAGGTAGATCAAGATCTCTAATTTTCGAAGTCTCCAAATTATCAAGTGAGGACTACAAGACAAGAAGTTTAGTTCCGACGGACCGGAGATCTCTAACACAACTTCCGAGATCTTGGAAATAACCAATCAATTGAAGAAGAGAGAAGCAAAGTGATCGATAGTATTCATACTCGTGGAGATGATTCTGAAGAAACAAAGTCAATATCATAGTCAAATTCTGGGGATTCAACGGTACGTACAAATTGGTATAACTAATTATGTAGTTACTAAGAAATTCATGAATTGGAACGTACATCTTGGAAAAACTTGGTATAACTAGTCAATGTTTTACTAAGAAATTGAAAAATTACAACTTGGGAAAACTTGGTATAACTAAATATGTCTTGCAGAAATCCGAGGAGGAAACAAAAAGTAATACAACCACTAAATATGTATTTCAATCACTTCGAGTATACAAAGCCATTCAAGATTTCTGCAAAGTGTTATATCTCAAAGGCAGTGGACCTATTAAGGGCTCATCTTAAAACCCATGATTTGGAATGGTTCGTATCGCACCCACAGTTCAAACATTTCTTGCATATGCCGAATGATGCAAATCACAAACTAATGGGTATGTGGATGTTGTTTCTTCGGACGGAGTCTTTAGAGAAGAGATAGAATGCTGGTTCATAGTCAGTAGTATTCCCATAAGGTATTATCTTAGAGAAATGGCATTGATTTATGGGCTATACTAACATAAAGGTATTCATGTTACATGGAATCATTGGGTAGTACAGTGTTTGTTGGGAAGCACTTTGGGGTTGGGGAAATAATAAAATATGCGGATGTCAAAGAGAAGCTATTATCAATGAAAAGACCTTCTCCAGATCAAGTGAAGATGGCGATTATCTACTTCTTATGTAACGTCATCATAGGGAAGAAGAAGGTAGGGAAGAAAGCACCATATGTATTTCATGTAACGTGAATACCTTTATGGTATTATAGCCCAGAAATCAGTGTCATTTCTCTAAGAGGATACCTTATGGGAATACCATTGACTATGAATCAACATTCTTTCTCTTCTCTAACGACTCCATCCGACGAAACAACATCCACATACCCATCAGTTTGTGATTTGCATCCTCTGGTATATGCAAGAAATGTTTTAACTATGGGTGCGATACAAACCATTCCAACTCATGGGCTTTACGATGAGCTCTTAATAGGTCCATTACCTTAGAGATATAACACTTTCCATAAATCTTGAATGGGTTTGTATACTCTAAGTGATTGAAGTACATATTCAGTGGTTGTATTACTTCAGTTTCCTCCTCGGATTCCTGAAAGAGATCTTTAGTTATACAAGTTTTCCCAAGTTGTACTTTTTCAAGTTTTTAATCAAAAATTAACTAGTTATACCAAGTTTCCCCAAGTTGTACTTATTGATTCATGAATTTCTTAGTAACTAAATAATTAGTTATACCAAGTTGTACATACCGTTAATCCTCAAAATTTGACTCTAGATTTGACTCCGAATTTGACTATGTTTCTTCGCTATCATCTCCACGAGTCTCATCTTCTTCTATGATTTCATGTGTTGGATCTTATTATTTATCAAATCCTACGTTCTTTGTACGCACCATTCCCTTGTCCTTCACACTTCCATTCATATAGTAACCTACTCATGTTATAAATAAAATCAACAACCCCAACTTAAGATTACCAAATCGACAACATTCAACCAGATCTAACATAAAACTGAAAAGAAACTATATCGATTTTGACTTATACAAATTCGGGTTTTCCTTACTTGTACTCACAAGTGAAAAGAAACGGCTCTCGACTTGTGACTTTAAAACTGTCGTTGAGTTAGAGAGGCTCCAATCGATATAGACAAGGTGTGGATCAGAAATTGGATGGGTATCCGAAACCGAATATATCTCTGAACCGACAAATCATATAGAACACCAATTAGGTCCGGTTTACTCAGAAGCTTTTTCGGTGGTGATCGATCGATTCAAATCGCCACGCCCAACCACAATTTTTCTTGCCTTCGAGTCTTCGAGAAATCTCCAGACTCTGCAAAGCTTTGATTCCTCAGGTATTTTGATTATACTACGAATTCATTCCCTTTTTATTCCACAATTCGCAAGCAATTAGGTTATCTAAGAAACCCTAATTTAAAAATCTCTGTTTTTTTCGATTATTGAGTCTTGCTCTCGAATTCGTAAAGATCAAGTCTTTACACAAGTTTCGTGGTAGAAAGCTTTAGAATTCTTGATTTGACTCTCTTTAGATGTTGATTCGTGCTTCCACGCTTGTTTTTAGATATGCCCATGTTAGAGAATAAAGGTGTGTTCTTGTGATTACAGAGATTTAGGATGGATCTAGAAACTGAGAATCGAATAGCTTCAGTTCTATTAAGAGAAGCAGCAGAATTGAGAAGACAAGCTGAGAAAGATGGTGTTAGAGCATATCTTGAGAAACCTAATGTAAGGATTCGACCTAACTCTAGGTTTCTCAAAGCCACTGTTCTTAGTGTTCAGCAATGTAAGCTTCTTTCTTTACTAACCCTTTAAATCTTTTTTATTCCGTAACATATGTTCGGGTTATTTGATCGTTTTCTACTAAACTAGTTTAAAGTCATGATTTTTTCTCTTTAAATAATTGTCTATGTATGTGATCACATTGGAAATTATAGATTGAACTAAGTAACTCAAGTCGTTTAATGATTGAATCTATGTTTCTTGAAGCAGCAATAGCTGCGGTTTCTCGAAGGGATTAGGTTCTTTGTTGGTTAATGAGAAGGTTGGTAACATGTGATATTTTTGTTGGTGGTTTATGGTTTTTATATGGTTCCTTTGGAATATAGTTTCTTGACTTGTTCACTAGTATTTGGTTTGCTCGGAAAGAAACATATATCGTTGATAGCGTAATCTCTGGTTTACGAGAGCTTGTGATTTGCAACTGTCAAGTACTACATGTTGTTTAAAAGCTCATTGTTTACTTTAAAACTCTTACATGTTTGTTTCTTTGACCGTACACAGCAAACAAAGCGGTAGAAACCAGTGAAATGTGGAGGGCTCGGAAGAAAGAGATTGAGCTAGAAGATGAAAGACTCAAGAGGAAAAATAGAGAGGAAAGCAGTAGTAGTAGCCAAATGAAGCAGAATGGTAGTTTCTTGAAAAGGAGTCTGGATAAGAGATGCAGCTCGGTTGATGAGAAAAAGGTTACGTGTACATCATCAAACAAGAGATGGTATTCAGAAGATGATGAAGGCTTACGAGATGATGAAACAGAGACTTCTCTCCAACCACGGTATGTCAATTCACACTCAATGTAGCAGCAGCGTCTTTCACCTTTGAGTTTGCTAGCTATCCTCATTCTCTTTCATGTATCCTAAAACGTCTTACCAATTTCCTGTAAATGACAGGAAAAAACGTGGTAGAGGCTCTATCGGTGCTATGATGGACGAAACAGGCCCTTATCTTCCCGTCGAGGAAGGACAGTTGGAAAGTTCCGATACAGTAGAACGGAAGGTAGTTCTTGGCCCAGTGAGACCACCTTCACTGAGACATGACTCAGATATTGAGCATAGTCGGAGGATAAGAAATGAGTATACGAAGAAGCATAGTAAAAAGGACAAGAAGAAAGAAAAGAAGAGAAAACGAGACAGACACTAGAAATATATTTTTGCATGATAGTGATGTTCCTTTAGGATATTAAAACACAGTTCATTTGTTACAATTTGCACAATACTGTATTATATAAAAACTGAAATTCTATTTCCTCTTATTATTTGGAAGATAGAAGAGATTAAAATTTAAAACTACATGAAACTTGAAAAATTTGCATTAGAATAGAAAAGTTTAGATATTTTGTGTTAGTTTAATACAAATGATGTTAGCATCAATTTATTTAAAATGACGTTAATGTTTGCAACATTCATGATGTAGTGATGTCAAGTGTGTATATCAGTTGTAAATAATTGATGTTAAAATTAACAAAATCATATTAAATTAATTTTTATCTATGTATATATCAAAGTGATGCAAATTGATATAAGATGGAAATACACATATATATACTTTACTACAGCCATAGTTCATATAATCGATATTTTTTTTTTGTAAAATTTACATTATTTCAGTACGTGTTATATATATATATATATATACGATTAATGATTCTTTATGAAAATAGTTTTATAAACTAGGTTTAGTAATAAGAGAATTTTTGAGAAATACCCCTTTTGGTGCACCCCTTTTTAAAAATACCCCTTTTATCTATCAATTTTCAAAAATACCCCTTTTTAAATATAAAAAATTATAAAGTTTTATATAGTTTATAAGGTACTTCTATATAATAACTACTACTGGGAGATTCGATACAAATATTTTAAAATGTTTTAAATAGTTTTAAATCGTTTTATAAGTTTTATAAGGTTTTTAAAAGGTTTTTAAAAGGGTTTATACGGGTTTATAAGGTTTTTATAATTTATTTTTACGCAATTTATGAAAGGATATAAAGTTTTATACACATATAAAGGCTAATTTGTGTATATATTTATAAGTTTACACACATATTTGGATAAATTTCATATGCATCAAGTATATAAAATAATTTATAACTGCTTTAATCTTTCAAATTTTCAAATTACTATTTAGAAACAAAAATTTTATTTCTCATAAAAAATTCAGAAATATTAAGACTAAAATATCATGTAGTACTTACTACTTAGGTTGTGAGGCCACATCAGATAAGATAAAATATGTTCATTGTTTTCTTTTGTGCAACTCTAAATTAGTAATTACATAAAAATTCTTCAAATTCTTATATACTGCAACTAAAAATTAAAACTCCAAACATCTTAAAATTGCTACATTAAAACAATGAAATATTTTGAACATCACAACATAGTAAATGAAAGATATCAAGCTATTCTGAAATATTTTCCTTTATTTTTTTTTCAGTTGGTTTTAAATGGATGCAGAGGTTTGAATGTCTAATACTTTAAAATGTAAGTGAACAGTCAAAGTATACATTTTGATAAATAAACATTCAAAGTATGCATTTTGATAAATAAACATTGAAAGTATACATTTTATAAGTATTCAAAGTATTCTTTTTCTTATTTATGTCAACTAAATACAAGTGTGTACGTTTCATACGTACACAAAAACAAATTTATCTATACTATTAAAAGGGGAGCATTTTTTAAAAGTGTATCCAAACAGATTAAATAAAAAAAATGAAAAAATGTAATCCTAAACCTATAGCCAAACAAAATTAATGACAGATTTTCAAATGAAAAAATATGCTTTAAAATAAATAAAAAATCAAACTAATAACTAACCAATATTCATGGAAATCATAATAAATTTGTTACCATAAAATGTGGCCTATTAAATTTGAAATTTTTTTGAAGATTATATAATGCTTTAAACGTTTATTTTACCTAATTTAAACTAATACAATTTAAAACATTTTAATTTAAAAAATTTTGAAACTTTTAAAATAAACTGATATGTATAGTATTTTAAATTGTGTATATGTAAACAGATTAAATTAGGTAAATAAACGTTTAAAATAAATTAGGTCCAAGGAAAGATTATAATACTATAAATATCTAAATTCTATAGAAGTTTAGGTATTATTAATATTTACTCTTTTAAAAGGTTTTAAATATTTAAACTACATGTAAAGTTGAAAATATTAGAAATATTTAAACTCAATTAATTTTTTTAAGTTTAAGCATTATTAAATTATAAATTAAAATTTTCAAATATCTTGGAGACAGCAAAATATATTTTCAATTGAAATAAATATGCTTTAAAATATATATAAAAAAATTAAAACTAATAACTAACTCAGATTCATGGAAATCATAATAAATCCGTTACCATAAAATGAGGCCTATTAAATTAGAAATTGTGTATTTGTAAACATATTTTATAGTTTGGATGCTTATTAAGTGAAATCAATCAAAGGAAACATATTTTAAACATATTATATTTTCAAAGGAAACATAATTTAAACATTACCCAATTCACCTAAAATCGAATGAATTGATATACAAATTTTAAAGTTTGGATGCTTACTAAGTGAAACTTTCTGCTCACTCAGATTTAAATCCATTATGATCATATGTATAATATGATTTTGAATCATTCTCTAATATTTTAGCGGATTTGAGATGTTGAACACATACTTTTTATATTAATTGAGTGATATATATCCGTTTTTTAAAATTCGAATCACAAAATATGTAGAACAACAAAATTAGATTTTATTAATTTTATGTGTTATATGATGATTCAAAAAAATTAAAAAATCAAATCAAAAATATGATAGGGGAACTATAATTTTAAATCTTCTAAATATTGATGTATTTCCATTTCTATTATTTTCCATTTATTTTTAAAGATATTGTATTAAATGCAGTGGCATTTTTGTAAATAGTTTGAAAATTTAGGATTTATTACAAAAACTGCTTTAAAATGTTAATATAGATAATGAATATATCAAATAATTATATCTAAAAATATAACCCTGCAGGAACGTAAGAGTGTGAAACATTACGAACATTACCTTGCCAATATCTGAACGGGAAACAGTGAATATGAAATGGGAACGGAAATAAGGAATCCCAATCTTTGTTAATTTTATCATCATCTAATTGTTTTAGAATGGGTCCTTTCAAATGAAAACCCTTTTCATTGGATGATCATAATACTTCTCAAAAATCGAAAATATTTCCAAACTATTCCTAATAAGATGTATGAGAGATAAATTTTGTATAACAATCTATATAGTTTTTTTTTATCTATATTCGAATCTCAGAACTTCATTTGAATATGCGCTAACTTTTGAACGGTAAATATCTACTTTAGATGATAATTTTAAAGTTTAAGAGAGTTTGAGAATATCCAAACGTAAGATATGAGTATTATGTCTAAATTAGAAAATTAGCAAAATGTATGCTACCTACGAATTTTTGCAAATTCAAACAGGACGAATGTAAATGTTGCTCATGTGGCTTTCACGGGGTAGACTTTTACTGGTAAAAACATCAAATACGTCGACCTTGACAATTTAGGTAATTCGGTTTGGCAAGTTTGATATTTTTGACATTTATCCGATTTTATAGTTTAATAGCTTGCTAAAAATATAATTGATTACATTAGTTTAATATCTGGATTTGTCTTCGTATCAATCCAAATATTATGATGAAACTATTATTATTACAAATATTCCAAAATTTGATGAAACCAAATCGTTATAAATATGAGTTATAAAGATTATATCAAATAATTATATTCACAAATATATCCCCGCACGTATGTGCGGGTCTAAATCTAGTTCTTATATAAAATCTAAGAAAAAACAAAAATACAAAGTTATATGAAAATCAATAAATAAAATATAAAAATCGGAATGCGATAAATAGTAATTAGAATACAAGTAGTACTTCTACTAGTCCATGTATATCCATCTATTACTTGTATTAATAGTCACAAAGCTAACACAACATAAGTATGAATATTCTTTATTCTATAGATAACAAGTTTTTTATGGACAAAAATAAAACAGACACTCCACAAATTTCCATATATAGCACAAATTGAGACAACTAAAATATTTTCAACGAATTCTTAGAATTTGTATTTAAGGTTTGGATTGATTATTTTATATTTATGGTATAATTTTTAGGAGTAAATAAATTTAATAAGCACAAAATATTTGACAAAACTAAGCAAAAAATAAGCAAAATATAAAATTACATATGAGAATAAGAAAGAAAAATGCAAAATTAAAAATAGTGGGCTTTAAGACAGTAAAGTTGATTGTCATTTGTGTACATTTTTTGTCAGTTGTGTTTAATAAGTATATTTTTAATCATTTTACCTCTCTTTTTTGGTTTTACAAACTTAATTTTCAGTTAACTACAAGTAGTAGTAAAGTGTATACAATATATATAAAATCACATATATAAAGCTAATTTGTGTATATTTTTATAAGTTTACACATATTTTTGGATCAATATGTTTTTTCATGACATTTTTGTTTTAGTTTTTTTAAAAGAATATTGGAAAAGCGGTATTTTTATAATTTCCACAAAAATTCTTGGATCCGCAACAATACACATATGTGTTTTCTTTTTTTTAGTATAGCTCATCGAACATAAGCCACCTTGAAGGCTTCCTCAGCTAGGGACAAGATGGTTCTTCACAAACTTCCTGAACCTCCACTTGAATTGAATGGGAAGACGACGTTCTGTTCTCGATGTTGGGAACAGAAGTGGCCTGTCCATTTAACCTTTTCTCACCATCTTTCAATACTCTCGTTGCACTGCCAATGGTTACTGTCGATCAACACCATCAATTTCGGGTTGGTTGGTTTAGTTTTAAATCGTCGGTTTAACTTGATATTGATTTGGAGGAAACCTTAATTTGTGTTAAAATTCGAGCAGCCACTCGTTTGGCTATTATGTATTCTATAGATAACAAGTTTTCTGGAAAATTATAAAACATACACTCTACAAATTTCCAAACATAGGATAAATTGACACAACTAAAATATTTTAAAAAAAAATTGTAGAATTTTTATTTAAATTTTGGGTTGACTATTTTATATTTATGGTATAATTTTTAGGAGTAAAAAAAAAATTAATAAGCACAAAATATTTGACTAAACTAAGCAAAAAATAAGCAAAACATAAGGAAAATATAAAATTACATATGAGAATAACAAATAAAGACAGTAAAGATGGTTGTCATTTGTGAACATATTTTGTCAGTTGTGTTTAATAAGTATATTTTTAATCATTTTACCTCTCTTTTTTGGTTTTACTAATTTAATTTTCAATTAACTACAAGTAATAGTAAAGTGTATAGAAAGTATATATAAAATTTTACACATATATAAAGCTAATTTGTGTATATTTTTATAAGTTTACACATTTGTTTGTATCAATATCATATATTTAGTGATATATTTATATTTTTTTGAAAAGAATATTGGGAAAATGATATTTTTATAATTTCCCAAAAAATGTCTTGAACCTGAGTGTGTTTTTCTTGTTATATATACTGAGTGTTTTTTTTTTTTTTGTATTTCTTTCCTTGACCTTCTTTTGTCTTTACTGTCCGTGAGTTATCGAAAGAAATATTTTTGAGCATGCAAACTGACTTGCGTCGGCGTTCTATCTGTCACAAAGTTTATAAATTCTCTTTTATAAAACACTAATAAAAATAAATAATTGCATAATTTTACTAAAAAAATAATAAAATATTATACAAATAAATATACCACAAAATAATATAACAAAACATATCACAAATTATATCAAACAAACAAAATTTTATGGTATATTTTGTTATATCATATTTGGTAATACCAAAAAAATGGGAAAAATGTCGAAAAAATCCCCAACTTTCAAATTGTAGACGAAAAAGCATGAACTTTCGAAATGTCTTTTAAATTCTAAAGTTTTGTTTGACTTTCTTGTTATATATATATGTCATTATTATAATTGTTTAACATCATGACCGAAATAGCCATGACAAGGAAACTTGACAATTTTATCATAAAGTCAAACAAAACTTTAGCATTTATCCAAAAGTCAAACAAAACTGTAGGATTTAAATGACATTTTGAAAATTCATGCTTTTTTCATTCACAATTTGAAAGTTACCGATTTTTCTAACATTTTTCCCCAAAAAAGATACATATGCCTAGTGGTGACAAGATTCAACTTCCACCTCTAGCCTATTATATTGCAAGAAAGGTGATGATTATTACAGTAACATTGAGCTATGTTATGTTTTCCCCAAGAAATTACGAGGTGTAAAAAGATATGGTACTGATCAATGGTTACTTTCTTTATATCGCTACGATTCCTCGATTTGTCTACGAGAGTACGAGTCGAGTCATGATTTACTTTGCACTTTTGACTTATTGAGTTTTCCCTTTGGACACTGTTTTCTAGTCGCAGACACAGGGGATGCTCTGCTCGGAGAGTTATGTTGTGCGATATATCTTTGTACCTGTTGTGTAAGTAACTATACCTAAGCAGCAGTGTTACTACAGGTCATATGATCTGACTTACATATATGACTCTTTCGCAGCAAAACTTGTACCAGGGAAATCGGATTTCTTCTGAGCTATAGCACCATGTACATATGTGGTTCAGACAACTAATATTGAGCACTCGAAGTTGAGGCTATCACGAGTCTTCAAAATGATGATCCGTCTCATCGAATATCTCTTCCTACAGCCACATTCATGAATAAATGACAACTTAACTGAACAGATTAATAGGAAAAAGTTAAGAGAATTGCAAAAGTTCTTCTATAACATCCAGCTTCCTCCTCCTCAGCTAGCTTTGGCAGTGGATGTTCGTTAAGTTGCAAAATGTCCGAGTCGTTATCTTTGGACCACCACCTCTTGCTTCTGGACCCTGCTTTAAACGAATTTGCTCGGTTTGGAAAGCTCAAGATCAAACCAAGACCTGTCTAGTTTGGCTGTTTGGCATTGATATCAATCACAAAAGTCTCAGTAATTGGTGTCATTGCATCTTTAGCCATTTTCCCAGATAGTTCAAGAGCTCCAGCAATGATTGTTGTCTCATCATGTGTTAATTCCCCACCCTTTCCAGCCTGAATAAATTAGGATGCGACGTTATTTGGCTGACAACATAATGCAAACAACATAAATAGAAACTTGTCGTCTTGAAGGTGAGGGAAACACAAGGGGGACAGTTGTACAAAACACAAAAATTGAGATATCAGAGATACCGAAGACATGCCTCATTTCCATGCAAATCCACAAGTGTTTTCAGCTCAGCTCTGCGGAATAGGGCTACACAACCATGACCTAGTTGAAAGTCCAACAACTGTATCAGAAACAAAAGGAGCAATGATTGTATCAGGACCAAGGATCTATGTCCATGGCACTGGCTCTTAGGACCCTCCTGCATAACTAAAAAGCGCAATATAGGAGATTTGGGAGTTAATTCAATCACCTTACTAATCGGCCATGCGACTGGTAAGCATATCCAGACTAGAATACGGACAAATGGAGCCACTGTTGCACCAATCGCCAGACCATGACGAGAACAGACTGACTGAGGTATGATCTGCACATGGAAGTTAAATCAACTGTCAACATTATAAACAACTACATTACAGACACATAAAATTTGACTCAAAGCGACAACTTAACATCAAACGCAAAATAGTCTGGTTAAAGAGAAGTAAAACAAGACCTCACCTCACCAAATAGAAGAATCAATGTCACTGAAATCATCGCGCCCCAAGCCATCACAGGAGCATCAAGGAAAACAGGAAGCGTCTGAAAAAAAACAAAACTTACTACCTCTAAGACAAAAAAACAACATTCAAGAACCCTATAAGTAAGTAAATTCCCAAAATTTCAACTCCTAATACTGTATTACATATCAAAAAAAGTACAAAGCAAAAGATGCTGATTTTTCACAACTGGCAATATATTTGCAGCATCAAAAAGCCAAAACCCATTTGTAAATGAACCAAAAGCATTCCAATTTATCACATAAACATGAAAGAAGTCATCAATGTTGTAATTTGTGAGTACCATTTTACAAACATGACGAAATTTAAAGACATACAAAACCGAATAAGAGGTAATTTTGAAAAGCATTCCCAATCAGATTGTCAACTGCGTGCAGCCAAGGATCGTCCCGCGACACCTTGTCATCGGAGCCACCTTCCGCCACGCCGGACGATCACTCCCAACGTTCAAAACATCTACGTCTGACAAGGGCTTGATATCCCAATTGAGCCTATCAGGTCCAATCACCCCTCCTACGATCAGTACCTCCTCACTCAAACTCGTCAGCGCCATTCCAATCCTCCGCTTAAACTCAGAGGCCGACGCAATCATCTTCCACGTCTCACCTTCTTGCTTGAACACCAGCCCTTGGCTCATCACGTAAAGCACGTCCTCAACAACCGCCATTGGGCCTTGAGGCCAGCCAAAGTCTTTGACATCCCATCCGAGTTTAACACTCTCAAGAACCTGCACTGTCGATAAGCCCTTGTGCAAAACATGAACTTTCCCATCCAGCACTAAACCCGAGCAGGCCGAGTTGTGTGTCCTGTGGAGATCCGGTATAGATGTCCAGACGTCAATATCAGGATCATACATCTCAACACCAGATATAGATTTCCTACAAGTAGTAAATCCACCAGCAACAACAATCTTGCCGTCAAGAACACAACAGGCAAACATAGCACGGGGGACAAGCATTGATGCGCGAGGAGTCCATCGTCTCTGTATAAAGTCGTAAGACCAGACCTCATCGGTTGCAAAGGTACCGTCATGATCCCCGGTAAGGGGATCAACAGCGTCACTACCACCACCTAAGACAAAGAGCAATCCGGCAGTGGTGACAGCACCAAAATGAGCAAGGTGGCGGATTCTTGATGGAAGGAGAGGGAGAGTTAGCCAGCGATCGGAGTAAGGACTGTAGACTTGCCAAATGTTCTCAGGATCGAAAGCACATACGCAGAGGAGATGCTCAAGTGATTGGACCTCTTTGCGGACTTTAAAAAGCTCGTGGCTTCGAATCGCTGCTCGCCACGAGCGAGAGACGAGTTCTAAATTGGGATGATGGTGTAAAGGCACATGCGCTAGACATCTCAGAGCAACTGCGTCAGGGATTCCATCGAGCAAGCCAGACATTGTAAAAATCTGATACAGATTCAGATATCAATTTCTGCCAACATTGATTATAACCAACCGCAAATAAACCGGATTTCGAATAAATTTGGATTTGAAATTGGGGAAAAAGAAAACCCTAAGATTTGAGATTATGAATGAATCGAATCCAATTGTGAAAAGCATTGACACTTTAAGGCGGCCATTGATTTTACAAAAGAACGAATTAGATCGACGTAAGACAAAATTACGAAAACCCGTTTTTGGGATAAGTTTACCTGAAGGGAGGAGGAGATTCTTCTGATGTCGGAGAATCTCAGCTTATGAAATTTCCGGTGAACGGAGAGGGAGGAGATTTCAATCGTATTACTAGTAAACCAGGTTAGGGAACGTACAACAAAAGAGAGAGAAGAGAAGAGAAGAGAAGCGAACACGAAGAAGAAAGAGAAGTAAGAGCGCTCTGTTCACAAGTCAGAGGAATAGAAAAAACAGAGAGAGACGATGGGGAAGGAATGAATAGAGAACCTGTAGATCGAATCGAAGTGGGCTTGGTCCAATAGCCCATAATCTCTATTTTTGGGCTGATTTAATTATCAACCAAAAATAAGATGGAAGACCCGACTGTAAGTGCCAAAAATAGGAACGAACTCATGAAAGAAGAAGCTAACATTATTTGGAGCATCTAACCATCCTTAATAGGATATCTTAGGACAGTATTTTTAAAAAAATAAAAATTAGAATTATTTTATAATGAACTGTTATGGTTTTGTATACTTTAAAAAACTATAATCTTAGAAAGAAAATTGTAACAATGATTTTTGTATTTAAGTAAATCACATAATAAGTTAATGATTTTGATTGACAATGTGAAAATAAGCAATTCTCTTACTATTTCATAAGATTTTTTGAGTTTCAGTTTAGATTATAATATCTTGAATTATTTTACTATTAGTTTAGCTCTAAATTTTGAAAATAACTAATTATAATAAGAATGAATACATTAAATATATAAACAAATCTAGTGTTTAGATATTAAATATATATTAAAAATAGTTTTTTAATTTAATTATTTATGGTTTTTTATAATAAAAAAATATAATCTTAGGAAGGAAATTGCTATGATGATTTTGTATTTAAATAAATCAAATAATAAGTTAATGTTTTTTATTAACAATATAAAAATAGTAATTCCCTTACTAATTCACATAATTTTTCTAGTTTTAATTTAGATTTTAGTATCTTGAATTTTCTAGTTTTAATTTAGATTTTAATATCTTGAATTAAATACAAAATCATCGTCGTCATTTTCTTCCTAAGATTATATTTTTAATAATATAATATTTTGAAATTGTTTATAATTTTTTATAATAAAAAAATTCAAAAATAATTATAGTTTTTAGTTTTTTAACAGTATAAATAAAATTATATTAAAAAAATTTGGAATATTTTTTTTGGTCAACAACGGTCAACGCCGGAGTCAATACCGGTCAACGCTAGAATCAGTTGACCGGTGTACCAGAATTTTATGTCTATGGTGTTGACTGTATGACGTTGTATAGTTGATGCATGTGGCCATGCAATACATCTAGTTCGTGTAGCTGAGTGTACAATATGATACTTGGCATGTGTGACCATGCATTCATCTATAGTTGGTGTAGCCAGCCATACAATATACTCTTTTTTTTTGTCGACAATATAAGGTCCCTTATTATTATTTTTAATATGATGATGCCGCGTTTATTAATTTACTTGCCCGGATCAGGAAGACAAAGAAAAAAAAAGATTATATTGTTTAGGAAAATAAAAAGATAAAAACAAAAATTGCGGAATTTTTACATTTAAGAAATAGTTTTTAAGGGCAGTGTTTAGTGTTTAGGATTTAGAAACTAGTTTTGAATGTTCAAATTTTAAGTTTTAATTTTGTGATAATTTTGGAAAAAATAGATTGTAGTGGTAATTTTGGAAAATAAACTTCATTATTTAAGTGAAATACCAATTTTAGTAGTATTTAAGAGAATTCTCCAATAAATTATAAAAGATACAAACTAAAGAAAAAACTAGAAACTAAACGACAACCCTAAAGTTAATTAGGTAAAGAGACGGCGCATGTGATGTGATGAAGAATCTTCCAAGTGAATTGATCGAAGAGATACTCTCTTGGGTGCCACCTAAAGTTCTTGTCCGCTTCAGAGCCGTATCTAAGCAATGGAACGCTCTTTTCGAAGAGAAGAGGTTCTTGAACAACCACAAGATGACGTTTAGGTTCATCATAGCAACCATACACAAGGTTTATTCGGTAAGCATCGATCCTGTGATAATGGTACGTGAGTTAACCTTAGGCACACCTGGTTTAGAATCTTTGGAACTTGAAAACTTGGTTGATTGCAACGACCTGTTGCTATTTGGCATGATGAACGGAGCCCTTATTTGGAACCCTTGGTTAGGTCAAAGTATATGGATCGAGCCGAGTTTAAAACATTCTCGTATGGTATTCGACGGCATAGTATACCACAATAAGAAATACAAGATGGTTGCTTTTTCCCAAAACCCTAATGACTTTGGGATAGTCTATGACATTTCCTCTGATGTTTGGATAGACCGCCCCAAGTCATTAGCTGACTTTGTTAGTCTTGACACTGCTGTATCCTTGAATGGAACTTTGTATTGGGTTTCTTTTAAAAACGAGACTGATCCTTTGTGCTACCAAATTAGTAAATTCGATTTTTCGAGCAGATTATTCGAATACTTTTGTAATCTACCTTGTGAGAGAAAACATATTGGGGATGCTTTTGTCCTTAGGGTCTTTAGGGAAGATCGGTTTTCTTTGCTAAACCAATGCTTTCTTGCCAATTGGTTTTAGGTTGGAAGCCCACAATCTAATATTAACTATGGGAACGGTGATGATGTGGTTTGGATGAACTTCATGACCTTTTCAAGTCCTAACTTGCCGGATTTAGTAGAGACCAAATACTGCTCTCAGCCAAGTTACTTCATCGAAGATAAAAGGCTCGTGGTGTGCACTTACGACAAGAGAGGTCACACTTGGATCTATATATTGGGGGAAAATAAGTTGATCAGTAAAACTCGTCTAATATTAGATAATGTGGTTGATACTTGGCATTTGCATTGTACCTTTTTCCCCAGTTTGGTACCAGTTCCTGCTCCAGGCAAAAGAGAAGAACTGGCAAAATTACAAAGTTAGGTTTTGTTACACGTTTGCTTCTTGTTTAGTACGTTATAGAGAAAACTATAAAGTTGATTTGAATTTTGTTGTTTTTGTCGCTTAAACTAGAGATTGTAGTATTTTTCTTCTTCTTCTTCTTTTACAGCAATAAGGCTTCTTGGAGAAAGACACTCAACATGTTGGGATTCTCTTATCGACCTCTTAACTGCACTCTTCCTCTTGCACTCTCTTTGTGAGAAATATCCACAAATAATATAAATAACAAGGAGCTCATGCCTTTTGCTTTGTGTCAATACTATATATATTTTTTTTAACACTTAATTTCATTAATTATGAATATGGTCTACATGAAATGCATTCGAAGGCATTCTGGAACATAATAATGAAATTTAAAATTACAATGAAATGGAAGATTTTCCTTTGCTAAGCAATCTGCAGCATGATTACCAAGACGTGGGATCCAACAGGTTTTAGCTTCTGAGAACTTATTAAGCCATATTTTGATGTCACGAATCCAGTTATGATGATGAAAATTAAGTTGCTCTCCTATGACAAGCTTATGGACAGTTTGATTGTCACCTTCAAAAATTACCTTTCGATATCCTCTACTCCATGCATGTTGAATCGACATTAAAAGAGCTTGGAGTTCTGCCTCTAAAGGGGATAATCGTCTTTGTAGATGACTTTGACATGCTCCTAAATAAGTTCCATTGCTGTCTCTGAAGATCCAAGCTGCTTTAGAAATCTCTCCTTGCTGTTGAAGATTACAATCATAATTACACTTGACAAAGCTTTGTGGAAGAGGGACCCAATTCTGAACAACCGGAGTAGAAGAAGATGAGTGCAGAAAACGATCTTCTTGTGATAAAATTGTTGCCCATTCTTTAGCATCTATACTAGCAAGTTGAATATCCTTTCTCCAATGAGTGTCTTTTTGCTGAAAGCAAAGAAAGTTTCGACTTTTCCAAAGTCGCCAGAGGATCCAAAATGGTAGTTGTCTTGTCTTTAATGTGAGAGTGTGGTTTTTGTTGATCTCCAAAAGAAATTTGATCTTGTCGTCCAAAGAGATTCTAATGTCCAGCAAATTTTGAACATTGAGTTGAGAGCTTCTCCAAACTCTTTGGGCATGAGGGCACATGAAAAAAGATGCTCTACCAATTCATCAGCACCACAACATCGCTTACACCTAGCATTAGAAACTATTCTCCGATGTTGGAGAATTGTGCCGATAGCTAAAGTATTGGAGAGGAGACGCCATAAGAAATGACGTATTTTTGGAGCTATATTAAGCCGCCAGATTGCTTGTTTTATTTCCAAAGATCCATCAGGTGGTCTTATCGCAACAGCTGGTTCAACACTATGAATTGCAAGCCAATAACCAGATTTCACCGTATAAATACCAGAAGAATTAAAGTGCCATCCAAGCATATCAGGTTCAGAAGTAGCACTTAATCGAATTTGTTTAATCACTTCCACATCTTCGGCCACAATATTTTCTTCAAGAGTATTAATATTCCACGATCTAAGCAAAGGATTGAAGAGATCTTTAACCAAAAGGATATTATTATTAGTACCTTCCAATCTTGTAGCAGGACGAGGAGGATTTGAAGGGATCCACGGATCATTCCTGATATCAATAGTTGAACCATCTCCAATTAACAGTCTAAGACCTTTTTTTAGAAGATCTCTACCCTCAAGGATTGATTTCCAGTGTCAATATTATATTATACTATTAATAAAAAAATTGTTAATCGTTAAGAAAAAATATTAACAGAAAAATACTCTATTATGCTAATTAAACATTTGAACATAGCCAACTTGAACAATCCATCTAAAAAGTTTGGCAAATAAAATATAAAAATGTTGACATCTTGCACCCACCAATAGTATTATTTTCTTGTCAAAAAAAAAAAAAAAAAAACCAACGGCCAACGCAAACCCAAAGACAATTCTAAGCCTTTTTAATGACTAGAACCATAAGAGCATCTCCATTTCACATAATAAAAGGAAAATATTAAAAAACTAAAATAACAAAAATTATTATTAAATATAAAGAGTCTTTAAATCCAAGACATTTTTCTCAAAAGTAAATTATCTAAGACACTAGAGATATATGAAAAATTCTTGGGTTCACCCCTAGGAGTGAACCCATCTCATTCACCCCCTCTAAGCTAACCAATCAAAATATAATAATGTGCCATGTCATTTTTTATTTAAAAAATAAATCAAAATTAAAATCATAAAATAAAACAAATTAAGGAAACAAATTCTGTAGAATTTTTATTTAGGAAATTTTATTTGGTTTGGGTTTATAAAATAATGGTTAGGGTTTAGATTTTATAAATAGATGAATTTATTTTTTGGTTTGGGTTTATAAATAGTGGTTACGGTTTATATTTTCTAAATAAACAAAATTATATTTCGGTTTGGGTTGATAAAATAGTGGTTAGGGTTTAGATTTTGTAATGAAACGAAATTATATTTTGGTTTGGGTTGACAAAATAGTGGTTAGGGTTTAGATTTTGTAATTAAACAAGTTTATATTTTGGTTTGGGTTAATAAATTAGTACTTTAGGGTTTAGATTTTATAAATAAACTAAATTATATTTAAGTTTATGTTAATAATATAGTGGTTAGAATTTAAAGTTTGTAATTAATAAGATAAATTATTTTAATTTATTTAATTAGATGACATGGCTAATTTTGATTGGTTAGCTTAGAGGGGGTGAATAAGATAGGTTCACCCCTAGGGGTGAACCCAAGAATTATTCGAGATATATAATCGCTGGATCAGCGATTGATGACTCAAAAATACAAGTAATTTAAAGACCCAAAAAGTAAAAAAAAAAGATTAAATTATTTAGGATAAAAAAAAAAAAAAAGAATTTACGGATTTTTTTTTGGCGGGAAATTTGGCGGAAAATTATTCTGAAAGATATTTTTTTTTTCCTTCATCATGAGTTATACTAAAAGAGAATAATTTAGTTATTTTGTACATTAAAAATGTATTTTTGAAAATGAACACGGTATTTATAGAATATTAAATAATTGGCAATTCGCATATCATTACTAATATCAAATATTAAATAATTTTTTTTATCAAATCATAAACAGATAAACTACATTTTGAGATTATAAACATATAGAATTTCTATTAAGATTAAAACTAAATAATTAGTGGATATATCACAATTTATTACTTATTATCAAATTTTAAATAATAAATGGATTTTCTATTTTATGATTTAATTTCTACGAATTTTTAGTAAGTTTCCACAAATAAAATAAAAAATCGGCAAGATGTTAAGAACAAAATATATATTAACAGTTCATTCTAGGAATATCTTTGTACCTAAGCAGCAATGTTATTACATGACATATGATCTGACTTACATATATGACTCTTTTGCAGCAAAATTTGTACCGTGGATATCAGATTTCTTCTGAGCTATAGCACCATGTACGTATATGGTCCAGACAACTAATATTGAGCATTTGAAGTTGAGGCTGTCACGAGTCTTCAAAATGATGATCCGTCTCATCGAATATCTCTTCCTACAGTCACATTCACGAATAAATGACAACTGAATTGAAACAAAATAATAGGAAAAAGTTATGAGAATTGAATTGTTACTTACCTGCAAAAGCTCTTCTATGACATCTTCCATGGTAATAATACCAACAGCTTCCTCCTCCTCAGCTAGCTTTGGCAGTGGATATTCGTTAAGTTGCAAAATGTCAGCGTCGTTATCTTTGGACCACCTCTTGCTCCTGGACCCTGCTTTAAACGAATTTGCTCGGTTTGGAAAGCTCTTCCATTTCTGAAGTGATCTCCTTCTCGTTAACTTCTTTTCCTGTGGGGATCTCTCGTTATCCATATCCACTCTGACTTCATTTACAGTCCCTATGCAAAGTGGGGAGGAAGTTATTAGTCCGTGTAAGAAATTTCCATCCCCATTGTAACTCCCACAAAGAAAAGACAGTTACCGTCTGCAACATTATTACTAGGAAATGGGTGGATTTTGTCACACTGTCTCACAACCACAGCCATATGGCTATGTCCTTTTTGGAACTCGTTCAATATATCATATAATGGTAAGGTTTCCGGAACTCTGGAGTGCATGGGAGAAAAATAAACCAGAACAAGCAATCAAAAGCATATTCAACAAGTCTTCAGTCATGTAGATTTGGTAATCAAATTCTAATAGGTAAAGTTACCTCGGGATTCTTCGTATCGTCACATTTTTTACTTGTACTTCTTCATCAGGGTTGATAGTCAATAAGTTCTTCACCTAAAGATAAATTTAAGAGCCATTAGATGCAGATACAATAATGATAATAAAGGAGCAAATTCGTCTGCTTCAACTGCTTGAATATGACTTTTAACATATCATGAGAAGGAAATTTACCAAAACAAGGCCAATTATGTTGGTACGTTGCTCATAGTATACTGGAACCCTGCTATGACCTTTCTCAAGAATCAAATTCATCAAATCCCTGATGAATGACAAAAGAAACTAAGTTTAGAATGACTTGGAGAATGAAGGGATCCGGGTGCAGGGGGCTGAACAAACCAAAGACCTGTCTAGTTTGGCATTGATATCAATCACGAAAGTGTCAGAAACAGGTGTCATTGCATCTTTAGCCATTTTCCCAGATAGTTCAAGAGCTCCAGCAATGATTGTTGTCTCATCATGTGTCAACTCCCCACCTTTACCAGCCTGAACGAGATGAGATACAACGTTACTTAGCTAACAACATAACGTAAAAACCATAAGCTTGTCATCTTGAAGATGAGGGAAATAAATGGGGACGTTTGCTCATGGTCTTACAGAATGACAAAAAAACAGAAACAAATGCAGAGAAATCAAAGACATGCCTCATTTCCATGCAAATCCACAAGTGTTTTCAGCTCAGCTCTTCGAAAAAGAGCGACACGACCATGACCCAGTAGAAAGTCCAGTAGCTGGAATATACACAGCAGAAGCAAATATTTCATCAGAACGAAGACTCTAAGGGCGGGACTAGAACCTTTCCACACAGCTGATAAAAACATTACAAGAGAATCGAGTGTGCATTTAATCACCTTACTAATCGGCCATGCAACTGGTAAGCATATCCAGACTAGAACACGGACAAATGGAGCCACTGTTGCACCAATCGCCAAACCATAACGAGAACAGACTGACTGAGGTATGATCTGCACATGAAAGTTAAATCAACTGTCAACATCATAAACAACTACATTACAGACACATAAAATTTGACTCAAAGCGACAACTTAACATCAAACGCAAAATACTCCGGTAAAAGAGAAGTAAAACCAGAGCTCACCTCACCAAATAGAAGAATCAATGTCACTGAAATCAGAATTGCACCCCAAGCCGTCACAAGAGCATCAAGAAAAATAGGAAGCGTCTGAAAAAAAACCAAAAACTTACCATCTCTAAGACAAAAAAACAACATTCAAAAACCCAATAAGTAAGTACATTCCCCAAGTTTCAACTCCTAACAGTCTAACACTATACCTCCATAGCAGCTGCATTACATATCAGTAAAGTACAAAGCAAAAGATGCTGATTTTTCACAACTGGCAATATCTTTGCTGCATCAAAAAGCCAAAACCCACTTGTGAAAATCATCAATAAAATGAACCAAAACATGAAAACAAGTCATCAATGTTGTAATTTGTGAGTACCATTGTAACAATGAAACAATTTAATATACTTAGAAACCAATCTAAACCCAAACTAGGAAGTTAATTAAAATAACTAAACATCTACCAAATCAACACATACCAGCATGTAAACGATCTTTAGGTGTACCGGATTTAGCAAGAACCTCAAGATCAACGAGACTCATAGACATAAGACCTAAGGTAAGACCAGACATTAATCCAGCGAATAAGACTAGTAACACTATCACAACTATGTGTATGAAGAAGTTGGTCTCGCAGCATTCATACTCAATCGCCATAGTTACACAAAACCCAGAAATCAAAACCTAATCTTTCGTCACTATCTTCAAAATCAAAATCATCATGTACGGACAAAATACACCGTTATGAAAACAAAAGCTAACAATTTTAGTTAGAAATCAAATTGAGATGAGCTTTGTTGATTGTGTTAACGTTTCTTGATGAAGATTGTGATTTGTGATACAAGAAAACAGAGATGACGAAGAGAGTGATTTTAAGTGTTAGTGGGAAAGACGAGAAGGTGATGAAGAAGACACTGAAATTAAAAATGGTTGATGAAGGTTGAGGTGGAGGAGATGGTGTGCGTGGCGAAAGACTAAAGTGCCCACGCAATGTTACTGCAAACGTGTATTTCGTAGAAGGGTGTTTTGGTCATTTACATTCTTTTTTAGTCAGATTATTTAGCAATTTTTAGTGTAATAATAAATTTTGATATAGGCATATAGCAATAATAAATTTCATAGTACAATGTGGAAAAGGTTGTGATGTGATTTGTTGGAATATTTGTTTGTACAGAAATAAGCATGATGGTTATATAATTACAATCTCCAAAGTGTATACCTTTTTTTTTTTTTTCTGTTGATAAAATTGTTTTCTGTCAACTTCAAATTTGTAAGAAGAAATGATTTTTTTTTTAGTGGCATTTATAGATTTAGGTAGTTTCCTCAAATATTTTAAATTTACTATTTTTCTTTTATATCTAAACACACAATTTCATATATATGATTGAGTTGATTTGGTTCCATTTTCTTTTAGGGTACTAGGTTATAAACCCGTGCTAGGCGCAGATATATATGTATTGATTGTATCAAATTGTTATAGGTTTAGCAATCATTTAAATAACTTGAGCATGTATGTATTGCTTTTTTTTTCTTAAGACTTAGTAACCATTTTAATATACATTGATAAATAGTACTATGTAGAAGTACAATAACATTTTAATTTTGATTTTTTGTAACATAAATGTTCCTTTATTTTTTTATTATTTTTTTGACAACAATGTTCCTTTATTTATATTTTGAGTATCATTTATGTATATTTTTAATATGATTAGTTAAAATATTATTTTTAATATGTTGGTGGACTAAAAATAAAAATTTGAAAATGTGAAATATTTCTGGTCTTTTTCACCTACAACATTTTGATTGAATTTTATTAGTTAAGTTATTGTGATATATCAGAAATATATGGTGGGGACTTAACTTCTACGACTTCCTCATTTGAGTATCAGCAATTTCACTATTATTCGTCTTTTCTACACCCTTAGTACACCGCTTTTAAATATAACATTTTTGAAAAATCTTTTGACAATCTAAACTCGTAATATCTATTTTGTACAACTACTACCTCTCATTATTATATATATTATATATGATCTTAACAATATATTTTAGCACTTCTCATTTCTCCGAACATAATCACAACCATAGTTTTATTTCATTCACTCTCAACCACTTCTACATCTATATACTTTCTTTTAAAAGCTCATGTTTTCCCCACATACGTTTCGATATATATATATATATGAATTTATGATTTCATAAAAATTTTGAGATCTATCATTTTACATTGTTTTGCAAGCACATTATCTTTGTCATCATTTTCTATCCCTACAACCACATCTACCATTCAATATTCTCCATTGTGGGATATTTATAATGAATTATGAACTATACTTCACCAAAAAAATATTAAAATAAAAACATACGAAGATAAACTATAGTTTACTGATTTTCTTTTTCTTTTCTAAAACATATATTTTGATAGTGCATATGTAGTCTCATCAATGATTTTTGTATATTCTACCAATTAATCCACCTATTATCCTTAATATATTTTATTTTTTTAAACTTAATTAAGTTTGTAATTTTTTTCTTCTAAGATTACGGAATTCATTCAATATTCTGTTATGAAATTTTGAACATGAAATACTAATTGATTGTAGAGTTCTATCTAAAACGCTTCATAAAATAATTAAAAATTTCTTATCTGAAAAACAAATGTCAAATGGACAAATTCTCTATATGGGACAATTTCAAATGTATATGTAATCTCCTGCTTGAAAAGTTTTATTTCATACAGGTGATTAAATGAACTTAACAAATTTAGTAATACTAAAATGGATTATGTTATGTATTCAAAATGAAATATCAACCATTTAATAATAGTAATATTATTTGAACAACATAAGTTTCACAGATAAAACTCGGAGTAAATTGTTGAATTGAGCTACGAGACACAAAATTATTAAGTGTATTGCGGAGGGTCTGTAGTATCTTCACAGTTACAAAAACCATCCGATAATACACCGCGATTTGAAACCTAGAATAGGTTATAATAAACAAAAAGCATAAAAAATAAAGAAAGAATATTTTTTTTAAACATTGTGTTGTGGTTTTTTTCCTTATAATACATCTACCAAACCTCATATTCAATTCCTTTGCTTTTATGATCAAATGTACAAATATAGAAAGTAATCCTATAACAAAAAAAAAACCAATTAAAAAAGTTAGAATTGGACTAAATAATCAAAACAGTACAATAATAGAACATAGTTTTTTTTTAAAAAACTCGATTGTAACTTTGGATGAAATATAATCACAACATATTAAGTAGATGATAAGCATATCAAAAGAATGCAAATATAAAAACCATATTATAAAAAATATGAATTACATAGAATATGAGTAATTAGAGCTACAAATCAAAGCCTATCGATTCAACTATACCGTATTCTAATGTGGTGGTGAAGATCCTATATTTATAGTTGAATTGTTAGGCTAAACCTTCAAATTTTTACTTTTTAAATTAGAAATTTACTCAAAAAGAAATATTCAAAATATTTCCATATATCTTTTATCTCCATTTATCCTATTTTAAAAATGGTATTTTAGGTAATAATCCCTAAATTTGTATAACCTTTACTTGGGGGGGGGGGGGGAATAATATTAAAGTTCTCATACTAGATCTATAAAGACTTCTTTTAGTTAGAACATTTTCGGAAAAATCCCCAAAAAAATGATTTATTTAATATTTTTTTGAAAATATATGATTATTTTTCTATGACCAAAAATATACACAAACTAATGTAAACTCCTTCTGATTCACAAAGATTAAATTTTTAACATTTTCCCACATATTAAAAGTTAAGTAACTATTTATAATTTAATTTATATATATTTTTAGTAAAAAGAGAAAATATAAAGCAATAAATAACATGCCATGCAAAAAAGCATAAAGTAAAAATCTAGTTTTCGTAGGAAGTAGTAGATAAATGTTACACAAATTATTTTAATTTTCTCACATGTCATAGTTACGACGTTAATTGCAATGTGAACATTTTTATGTAAACATTTTTATAACACAAACTCTTTAGTATTTTTTTGTATTTTTGGACAAAAATTCTGTAATGATATTTATAAAAATAAAAAATTAGTGATAGTATTTTTAGTAACGTAATACAACTTTTTCTGGTATTTCTCAAAATATAATTATCTTTAAAAAAAATACAACTCTTCCTACAAGGTTGTTGTTCTTGGTGTAGGCCAAAAGTTTGGTTCCGTTTTGCATTCTTTCAAAGTAGCCATCCTTCTCAAACCTTAACATGTATGACGAAACCGTCAGTTTGAATGAAGTCGCTACCTATCCTCAGCCTTCATCGGAGTTCTATCCTAGGGAGATCATTTTATGAGGGAATGCCTAAAATTCGATGTCGACGTTGTGGTAATCACTCATGCTCTTGGTGTGCCTAAATGGAATGAAGATGTCTTAACCTTCAATGTTACGAAGATGAAATGACTGGTGGAGTGTATGGCATCATACAATCATACAGTCTGGACGCTTACATTGTTATCGTGAGTAGCATACTTAACTTCATAATGCCATCCACTGCAGAGGTAATGAAAGTGAAAGATGTGTATGATCCAAAAAAGCTCGTTGGTGTCATAACAATGTATCTCCCTATGGCCAAATCCATCGTTGATGACGGACTTAGAGACAAATTTTGGTGGACGTTCATGTTGTTGGTGGGCACGAGGAAAGGACCAACTTTCCACTTCTATTAAAAACCAAACCCTCTCTCAACTTGTACATAATTTGAACAAACTCAATAGAATTCGAGACTAACACCTGAATTTTATAATTGTACCAGCAGCGTAATACAAGAAAGAAATATGGATGTTATTGAATGATATAAGATCTCGCTTTTGTTCAAAGGCTTCTTGATAATGAGGGAGTGACATTAATCAATTTAACTAGTCACTCATCATCACAATCTCTTATTTAAAATTTGTAGAGTAGTTTTTAATATCATAGTTGGACGATTTATTGTGTGAGATAACATATTTCCCATTAATATTATTTGGTAGTTATTCCATTTCTTCCTTTGAGAAAGGAAGACTCACTTCATGCCTTTGAAGGCCCACCAAATTGATAGTTAAGATATTAAAATTAAGGTTTTAAAAAATGGTCTTTTTCATCAAGTAGGAGAAACTTCATTAGAATTCTTTATTTTAATTTTAATTTATTGCTTCCCACTTCCTTTTAATTAATACTACTTTATATTTTTTTTTGTAGAGTTTAAGTATTTTAATTATTTTTAGGATTCTATTAAGCTTAAATTAAATATTTAATATTTTTAATATTTTTAACTCTTTTAAGAAAAAGAAAAGTTATAATATTTTGAAACTTTTTAAAAATTTAATTTTCTTAAATAACGAACCGGATTAAACCAAATAAAAACTATAATTTGAATGTTTGAGAGATCAAAATTCCTGTTCATTTGTAGTTGAGAGCATATTAATCTTACTTATAATGGTTTTGAACTATTATCTAATTTAAATTGCAAAATATGCTGAAGATTATATAGCAATATTGGAGAGAGATTCGATTTATTTGAGAAAGAATTTATGAATTTTTTTGATGTAATAAATATTTGTTTCTAATTTTTTGATTTGTTTGTGATTTAACTATAAATTTTATTTTTTGTTATTAATTCAAATAGCAAGGGTTTAGTTATGGAGCAAGATTTGCACTCTTGTTCACCCCTTATTAATTAGCCAATCAAGATAAATCAAAATTCCATGTCATATTATATTTAAAAAATAAATCAAAAATAAAACAAACCTTAACCACAATTTTATCAACCCAAACCGAAATATAATTTTGTTTAATTACAAAATCTAAACCCTAACCACTATTTTGTCAACTCAAACCAAAAATATAATTTTGTTTAATAAC